CGGTGGCTCACCACACATGTCTTCCCTCTCGTGTGCCTCTCCTGCTGTCCCCTCCATGAAGCAGAGGCTCCAGATCCCCAGGGATGTGGATGTTCCTTCAGTATAAAGGGCGTGGCCGGCTAAAGGCAGGACAGCGACACTGCGAAGCCCAGTAGCGTGGTAGGAAGGGCACTGGGACGTGTGATTTAGAAGGAAGGGCCACCGTGTTATGTCCTAACTGCTGGGCACCTGGCCTCTGTAATGCTTCTGGATGCACAGACATCTTGAGAGTTATTTTACCTCCCTCTTTTCTTCTGCCTGTTTATTAACACCATTTTGCTATCTTGGTCCTCTTGCCCCCCACCCCTCCTTAAACTCTCCTTCCTCCCATGTTACCTTTTCCAGGGGAATCAGTGTCTTTTAGAGATCAGGATATTCTCCAAGTGGATACACTGTAACCCCAGGGAGACTTCTTTTTCTTTGGAACATGATACTCCCAGGAAAAAAAATCCCAAAGGAACCACACAGAGGGCTGGTGCACAGTAAAACAGAGCGATGGGAAGCGATTGCAAAGTTTTAAGCCTGATTTGAGCAATGAAGGATTTCTTTGACGTGCATTAGCTTTCTTTTCTTTTATTTTAAGGGATGATAAACGTATGCATTTCATATACATTGTATGTATGACTTGAACTTGTAAATTGCAGTTAAAACTTAAGAAGGGGTGAATACAGGAGATCCCAGGGTTGTACGTTCCTGGTTCTCTGTGTTTGTGAGAGAGAGAGAGTCGGGGTGCTGTCACTCAGATGATGGAGGGGTAATTAATGGAGCCTTTCCCCTTCTATGCATGAACTGAATAAATGGTTGGCTATCGAGAGAATGATTGTCTGGGGAAACCGTATCTTGAAATTCATGTTAGCATCTTTGAGATAATCTCAGGATTATTTTAGAGCGAAGAAAGGAATAGTGATACTTCATCCCAGAGACTCTGTCTCTGACCACAGAGCTAACTGTGAGCATTTTCTTATAGGACGGAAGTACAGACGATCGCTTTTTGAGAGTCTGGGGTCCTACCAAACACAGAGCCGCGCTACTAGCAGTAAGGCAGAGGGCAATTAAGAAGACCCTTGCTTTTTACTCTTTTTATTCTGTTCTTTCCATGCCTGTCACTCAAAGGCTGGATAACTGCCTCATCGTCCATGTGCTGCTGCTGTCCCGAGTTTTAAGACCAGCAGCGTTGTTTGAACGCCTAAAGTAGAAATCTCTAGGTCCATACCAAAGTCGGTTCCCTGGGATCCTCTCTGGAAGAGGAAAGAGGACCAACCACATATGCTTAATTTGCATTGGTTGACAGAATTTTAAAATTAGCTATTTTTTTTCCTAATGTCGTGGTTCCATCACAGGTTTCAGATGATGTTTGAAGATCAGGATAGGCTGACATCATTCCCTAACCTTTTTTTTTTTTTTGGCAAAAGGAATATATTTTATATATACATTCCATCATCTTTTTTTGCATTTTTTTTTACATTTTTATTTTGGTTTTATCCCCCACATTCATACCCCATGTTATAAACATGAATAGAACGGTCTCAGTCTTCAAAAATGAAGAGAAGAGTGCATTTAACCATCTTGAGCGAAGTGCTAGGTGCTTCTTTACTGAAGGACTTCGGAGCATCTTTCTCCTCACTCTTCTATGCGCCCAGGTGTCGTTTTGGTAGGATTTGAAGGCAGGGAGGTGGCCCTACAGTTCCGGTTTGCAAATTGAGAACAGAACCTGGAACAGAACCAGAACCTGGCGCCTTCTACTGCGTGACTCCAAGCCTTGGAACCAAGGTCACGTACCAGCAACCCAGGGCCGTGCATTAGCAAACAGAGCAACAGCGCAGTGACTTAAATTTCACTTCCACAACTCCTGTCACGGGAAGTGAAGACAAACTCAGCTTTAAAAAAAAAAAAAAGTTTGCACAACTGCAAACAGCTGGGTTGGTCTGTAAACAACTCTATGACTTCTTGGTTTACTTTAAGACATCATAGGGCAGAGGGTGTTGGGAAAACCACATGTGTGTTAGTAGTGGTTTTTCTTGGTTTAGACGAGTTCAGGAGAGCAGAGGAATGAAATTCTGCAAAAGGCAGCCTGGAAGTTCACATTGGCTTCTCAGTTGTGAAAATTGCCAGCTGCTAATTCAGGCCCTCGTGTCCTGGTCAGCGTGCCCTGGGCTTGCTCCTGAGCGCTGGCCCTTGCTCGCCGCTAGCCTGGCTGAGATCGGAGGCATCTGTGATGTAGAGGGAAGACCTTGAAAGTGAGTCGATCGCACGACTAGTTGTGTGCCTGTGAGCCCCTCTGAATCCTCTGTGCTTCCGTTGCCTCCTTGGAATAAAAGGGTTAATAATACCCACAAGATTCAGGTAAGGGTACAAGCAAGTGAGCTTATTTTTACGGACTGATTTGTAAAGCCTCATTCCCGCATGAGAACGTACCCCCACTTCCACGGCTCCCGCACCACTAGTCCACACACCTATCCCATCCACTTCACTTTGTGTTACTGGTGGTGCCTCTCCTTGCCCCACCATGCTGCAGACTCCTCTGTGGTCGAGTTTCCCCAGCTGAAACAGAGGACCCAGCAGGGAGCAGACGCACAGCAGGTGTTTATTGAATGGCTGGTTGACCGTGAGACCAGCCTGGGTCCTTGTCGGGACGGCAGCGTTGGTGAAATTACGCAGGCCGGCCACGCTTCGTGCAGACTGAGAGGTTTTTATTTTAACGGCGCTGAGAGGCTGTCACTAAACGTAAGCAGACGTAGCCGATCTGGCCGAGTCAGGGTGCCGTGAGAACGCAGGCAGCCCCAGAAGAGAAGAGCACGTTGGCTGCTGAGATGACCGTGTGTCTGTTACCCTGAAGAGCATGAGCCCCTGCAGAGACCTCTGATGAAGTGGGGACAGCTGGGGTCTCCTGTCCGGCTTGTCCTGCATGGGACTTGCTGGGCTGTGACCTCAGTGAGATAGATGTGGCTTGCCAGGGCCTCTCCCTTGAGGCAGAGGCGGCCCGGTGATGTACCATCAGCAAGGGGCCTGAAAAGGGCCAGGGTAGCATCCGCCTGGTGGAGCGGTTGTGGACCTTCCACACCTCATAGGCTCGAGAGAGATTTTGTGGATTGGAGTGATGTCAGCTCACTCAGTGGAGAAGGAGAAAACAGGATACTTCTTCAAATAAATATAGAAAGAAGCACAGTAAATAAGGTCCAGCCTCAGGGAGGCAGATCTTTAAAGGAAAATTATGATCCCCCGTCATCTGTCTCCCTGTCACCCATTGATGTATTTAGCCAGCGCCTCGTGGTGCTAAGTGCTTTGCGATGCTGATGGTCATGATGACCACCGTCCCTCCCCCTGGGTGAGAGTCCTTGGTGAGGGGCTCCACCTCTAGTGCACAGAAAGAAGGAACCAGCCAGCACACTCTCCTCTCCCCGACGTCCTGATTTTACCAGGATGTGGACGCGAGCAGAGGCAGCAACAAGAAAAAGCCCAACTGAAAATCAGAGCCTAATCGCTCCCATCTGCTCCAGTGTTGCTTCCCCTCGCTGCCTGCCAGGATGTTTGCCGCAGACGCTAAGTAGCACATTATTTTCCATCAGTTGCAATCATTTACTTGAAATCTACTTCTCCTTTAAGATGTCCCCCTGGAAACTTGAATCGGCATTGGAGAAGGCCTGCTCAGGATGGAATTTGATTGCTTGCACTCAAGTGCGAGGAAAGTTAAGCCCGCTTGACCACCAGGGGTTTGTGTATTCAAGATCTGAGCCACATGGACTCTGCTGGGAAGAGAGGACCCCATGGAGGACAGCCCAGGAGCTCAGAGCCACCGTGTAGCGCACCTTCCAAGGACAGGC